CTGCGCCCTGGAACACCGGCAGGGTTGGCAGAACGATCTCCCGAGGGCACTGGGGGGAGACGGGCACCGTGTAATGCGGTGTGAACCTCTCTGCCCCAGAAGGGCCTGCCCTCGCTAGTCCTATACTGAAATAGTCAGGACCGTTTGGTCGAGGACCTCTTCGCCTGAAGGACGGTCCGCAGATCCGGCTTAGGCTTCAAAGCCCCCGACCCAGAGCGTTGCTTCTGCTTCCGGTCCTGACGCAGGGGGAGCGCGGGCGGCAACGCTCTGTTTCTGAGCCTCCCTATATGAGGAGCTGGTACGCGGAGCAGCCCCCAGAGCTGAGACGCAGTGAGGGAGGAACCGCTGAAACGCCGCCGCCTGTTTACGAACCTCCTGGTACCTGTCGACGACGGAATCGACGGCGTCGCCGAACAGGCCAGAAGGCGCAAGCGGGGCGTCGAGGAGGAAGACCCTGTCTTTCTCTTTCATGTCAGACAGGGTCAACCACAAATGCCTCTCTGCTGCCACCATAGCTGCCATGGACCGCCCAATGGCTCGGGCGGTCTCGTTGGTGGCGCGGAGAGAGAGATCAGCGGTTTGGGTGAATAAGGGCAAAATGCACAAGATGCAGTACTTTCAGTGACCTGTAATAGGCAGTATCACGTCTTTTGTAGCAGAAATAAACTGCTGCAGAAAAAGCTAGGTCCATGCAAAATGTAATGTGTAACTGCAACACTCATTTCAAATGTAGTGGAGTAAAGAGTACAGATACTCATTCAAAAATGTAGTGAAGTAGAGAGTAAAAGTTGCTAATATCTTTGATACTCAGTACAACTACAAAGTATCCAAAAAGATACTCAAGTATAGTAACTAATTACATTTACTCCAACACTTTACACCTCTGATGTTAGCCAGCAACCAAACAACTCTTTAAGGCATTGTTTTAGCAAACCCGCATTTGTTCTGGTTCTATTCTGGTATGTAGCACCCGCTTTTCACATTCAAATCAATAAAGTAAAATGGATGGCATGGCAAGGGCTCTAGTAAAGAGGTCATTAAAATACTGCTTACCAGGTACTTCTTCAGCTCCTTGTAATTTGTGATGATGCCGTTGTGGATGACAACAAATTCTGGAGAGAAACATACAGAGATGGATGAATAAATTCAAAATTAATTCATGAATGAGAATTTGGGTGAAAACACATAACAAAAAATACAAATTATACAGGGCTCTCCAATGCCATTCCTAGAGGGCTTGCTGAAAATGTAGGAAGTTCTAACCTGTCTCAACCTGATAATCCTGAAGACCTTGATTAGCTGGTTTAGGTGTGTTTCATTGTAATGTAAAAAATTGTAATTGTGAAACCCTGCAAGAAAGCCCTCCACTTAAATCATCACAAATGCCAAAATTAGAAAGGTATCTGAGACAAAGCATGTTATGCATTCTTGTACACATGTACTACAATGTAACAGTATAGCAGGTTGGGTCGCATTTCACTTTATGACTTTCTCAACTGCAAAAATTGCTGTTTGTCATATCTAACATGTATCATAGTTGATACACAACAATTGCTGATGCTTTCACAAGCTGTTCGCGGATTTAGGCCTACATGCTTTCTATTTCAAAATGAAACAGGCTTGAAGAATGTCTATTTGACTGTTAAACTTTGTGTGGTGTAGTCATTTTATATAGGTGATATTATACAAAGCTATTTGTCCTCACTGAAAGCACAATAGTGGTAAAAACGTGTAGACACACCCACATTTTCCTCATGATCTTAAAGACCTACAGGCTTATAATTTAATGCTGTGCAAAAGTGTAATACACACCATTTTATAGTGCAGAATGTACTGCAGAAAAATATAAATTGTGCCTATTTAAGAAAATTGTGCCTTTTTTTTCATAAACAAATTGGAAAAAGCAGTAAATGTGTTCAGCATACAAGTGAAATCATTCAATAATACTGGAAAAGCATCCCAGGATGCACCTAATAAAGTTGGCTGAGAGAATTTCCAGACTGTTCAGAGCTTTGGGTAAAGGGTTGTGGCTTTTAAGAAGATAAAAAATAAAACCGATTTGGTTAAAGGGGTCATATGATGCGATTTCAATTTTTCCTTTCTCTTTGGAGTGTTACAAGCTCTTGGTGCATAAAGAAGATCTGTAAAGTTGCAAAGACTAAAGTCTCAAATCCAAAGAGATATTCTTTAAAAGTTAAGAGTCAGCCACGCCTACCTAAAACGGCTTGTTCTAACACGCCCCAACATACCTACGTCGCTCTGTGGGAAGATTTGCATAACACCGCCCAAATGTTCACGCAAAGAAAGAAGGCGTAACTTTTATTCTCACTGTAGTATTGTTGCCGCCGCCATATCCTGAAGACGCTGTGTGCTTCGTTGTGAAAGCTAAACTACTTTGTTTGGTCTTCAAAAAGAGGACGATATCCGCTTCGTCATGCCTAGAGAGGATCCGTGCTGGTCGCTGAGGGAATACAACAGTACGGTGAGGGGTGTAACATTTCCGTCTCACGCTTGAGGTATTTGGCCAATCACAACGCACTGGATAGCTGGCCAATCACAGCACACCTCGCTTTTTCAGACCGATGAGCTTTGTAAAAATCGACGCGTTTCAAAAAGGCGGGGCATAGAGGAGAAACAATAATGTACAGTATGTGGAAAATAATGTGTTTTTTTTACTTTAAACCGCATAAACACATTTCATTACACCAAATACACAAAATAATGTTCTTTTTAGCAGCATCATATGACCCCTTTAATCATTTTTTTAATATAATGCCCTCATTTAAAATAATAGTGGAGAGTAGACAGAAAGCAAAGTGGGAGAGAGAAAGAGACGGACGGGATCAGAAAGGATCATGAGCCAGGATCCGAACTCAGGTCAGGAGCGCTGCCCGAAAAGCTATTGGATTATTAATAAATCATTAGGGTTGTCCAAAATTTTGACAATTATGTTGAATCATGAAGAATAATTTCCTTTTACCTGTTCCTGTGTACAAAGGGCTGTATTATTTTACAGTGGGGTCAAAAAGTCTGAGACTACAATAAAAATGTGCTTTTCAAAATGAATTTAAAAAGATTAAAATAAAAGTTCAAAAGTACAATTTTGCAACTTATAAGTCAGTCACTAATCAAATGTAGCTAACTATGTAATGCTGCTTTGTACAGATGCTCTTTGAATCATTCTGAAATCCAGCTGGATAACAATCATCAGGCAAAATATTAAAAAATTAAAAATAAAAATAAAACTTTCGAACTGAACTGACTTTAAAGGAGAAAGCTGATCCAAAATCAGTAGCACACCAAACTGTGTGGCGAGAGGAACCTCCTGCTGTCTGTTTCTACCCCCTACTTAGGTGTTTATTTTCAGAGGCGAACTTTCACATCTGAACCGTCATTCACAGCATTATGGCCTTCGCTAGCTTTTCATTTACAAACACAACCTAATGGCTTTAAAGCCTGTGTCGGCTACCCAGTCCTGCCTTTTCTGGACAAAGAGCTCATAAACTGACGGCAACCCCAGCTGGTTTACTAATGACCGGATATAAACCAGATGACCATCATAAGGTCAGTTAATTTGTGTTGTCTACCATGTCGCTTTATGTTTTACCATTGTTCTTGTCAGATCGGTGAGGGTGGCTGTTGAGAGGACTGGGCTCTCCATGCGTGGCCCAGCGAGTGTGTGCAATGCCAAAGTGTGTGTCCAGTTCTGCCTCGAAATCGATGGAGTTGTTCTCTGATAATACAAATCAGAGAGAATTAATCATTAAAGAAACACTTTAAAGAAAAAAGAAAGAAGATTGATAATGAAGTGGGATAACATACTGTAGATCTCTTCATCGAGAGCTTTCACCTTCCCTGTCTTCTTATAGAGGCTGATACTAGCAGTATGATCTTTACCTGAGCCATCTACTGCAACACCTGACCAAAAAACACAATTTTCAGCGAAGAACAGCATCATACTCGGTCACTGTTTCTTTATCTCTATTTAAAACTCTTGATAAACAGGATGAGGGCTCAGCATGCAAAAAACAAGATTAACGGCACAATAATCCCCTTCACACAAGTATCGACTGACTGCTTCAGCTACATTAGTGGAAGAACTGACACTCCAGGCCCACTGTGCTGCCAAAATCTAAGAAACGAGGCCACTGTTCACGTCTTGAGCCGTATCTGTTACCTGCGGAACACAGTGACATTACCCTCACAGAGGTGGGAGTGGCAGTCTTACCTGCAGAGTCATAACCCCTGTACTCCAGCCTTTGAAGTCCATTTATGAGGGTCTGAAAGATATCCCTCCTCGTCTGTGGCACTCTGTAATTCAGGTAGGCGAAAATTCCTGCCGGGTACAAGGTAACAAGGCTTGGAGAGTGCAGTATACGAATCGTTTATGAAGACACAAGGTTTTTAAAGTGACCCAGTTAACATCCCAAGAAAAGGTTTACAGACTGAATGTCAAAAACTCTAAGCATATCAATCACATGAAGACATTAAATACAATAAAACAGAGTGAAGGATTCAGATAACCCTATTAACTAAAGGATGGAAAACATTGATAGACAGACTAGATACAGACTAAACCAGATAGATAGATAGATAGATAGAACTTTGCTATTATAAACTTCGGCTTAGGTCATATTAAATAATAATAATACAATAACAGTAAATATTGTGCTAATGTGCTCATTATAAATCTTTTTTTTGTTATTAATCACCACAATAGTCGCAGTAAGAGATTGCTTAATTACTTAGAGGCCAGGGAGTTTATTATAATTCTCTGGGTGACAGACAAAGTGATAGAGTTCATTTAACATTTGGAATCAGCCACGTCGCCAGATGAAAGTGGTGGATCCAGATTGTATTTAAGATGTGTCTTAAAACGCTGAGTGTGCTGCTAAATGTCGCGCTACAAACCGGATCTGTCACTCACTTCATCTGTCACGACTCCAGTGAATGATGACCAGACCAACCAAATATTTACGCTGGCATGGCATCTGACTATAATTCACGTTCACACACACAGGGACAGATAGTTTAATACATGCCATAACAATATTAAGTATGATTGTTATGACAGTATGAGAAATAGGATACCTTATCAAAGCGATTCATTTACAGTATTCCTATTTCTGTAAAGAAATAATAATAACAAGCTGAACTTACCACACATCGTTCAAGTGTTTCCTTTCAAGCTGAAGAGGTTTTGAAGGGTCTGGTGGTGAAGCGGAGCGGAGCAAGTCGCAATATGATCCAAAGACTTCGAGGAGGAATTACAAACAGCCGCCTGGATTTATAATTTAGAACCTGCTCCACCTCTGGTTACCAAGGCAACGTCAGCCCCGCCCACCGCTGGCTGATTGAGAGGACTGTGACTTTAATTTCATGCTTGATACTAAGGATTCCTGTTTTTGGTCATGTTTTATGTTTATAAAACTAGTTTTCCTTATATGTTATTACAGACTCTTGACTGTGTAAATACGCCAGACACAGGCTGTGTGCTGTGTCACAGAGAGAAAATTTGTTTATCCAAATTGTGTCTTTAAAATGGAGGAACGAAGCAAAGATTTTAAAAATGGTTGTTTTATTAGTAACAACCTTAAGTAAGTATTTAATATAATATAACATATGTATATGCTATATAAATGAATAAATGAGTAAAACAATAGATATGAACACATATTTACACTCCTATGTAAATGAGGACAAACCACACGCTTCTATTGTTTTTGAATAGAGCTAATTATAGATATTACAAACTTCCCATAAATGCTATACATTCCAGTGTGACAACTAGTCTCACTTGCCCATATACTGTAGCCTGAATGCTATATAGCCAAAAGTAAGTGGACACCACACCCATATGTGTTTGTTAAGCACTTAATTTAAAAACCACCGGCATTAATGGTTGCGTTGCTGCTCCTTAAAAGTTAATGTGAAGAAATATATATATATATATATATATATATATATATATATACAGACTCCAAGGTTTTGAATGGTAGAGTGTATAATGTTACAAAAGCTTTTTATTTCAGATAAATGTTGATCTTTGGATCTTTCTATTCATCAAAGAATCCTGAAAAAAAAAAATGTATTCAACTGTTTTAAATATTGATAATCAGCAAATCAGCATATTAGAATGATTTCTGAAGGATCATGTGACACTG